AAGGCCGGCACGGCTCCAGCTTGGGTGGCAGTCTTCCTTCTCCCTTGGTCTCACCTCCTTTCCCATTTTGGTGGCTTCCCATTTCATCCCGTAGCCTCCTCTCAGAGGCTGTTTTCTCCCAGGTTGTTCCCACTCTCTGGCCCGTTTGTGTCCTCAGAGGTCTGGCCGCTGCCACGGCACCTGCCCCAGACCCGGTGTCACCTCGCCAGGGCTTCAGCCAGCCTGGCCTTCCAGCTGCCACTCAGCAGCTCAGTTCAGTGACTCAGAACCTTCTGGCCCAGACCTTCATACCCAACTCCTGCCCAGGGGCAAATGCAGAAGCCTCTGCTGGTGCAGCCAACATGGAGTAGGGGGAAGGGGGAAGGGGGAAGGGGGACCCTTACCAGCTCAGAGCATTAGTAAGAGTGGGTGGAATTCGCATGTTAAGAACATTCATTAACAAAATACCCAAATGGAGACAGAAATGCAAATTCGGACTAGTTACATTTCTGGAAGATTTCAGATATTTGGGCCGAAATGCAAATTCGGACTAGTTACATTTCTGGAAGATTTCAGATATTTGGGCCCCCAAGATGGCTGAGGACTCATTTCTCAGCACCTCTTCTCATAGCCTTCAAGAAAACAGTGCCTCCTGTAAGAACCTCTGAATTCTGAATTAGGTATGTGTTAGGTGGGGTGGGAGTATTGACGGAATGTTTCAGATCACTAATCTCACAGACATCGCAATGACAAGATAAAGTTTATTAGACAAAAAACTTTTTTTTTTTTGAGATGGAGTCTTGCTCTGTCACCCAGGCTGGAGTGCAGTGGTGTGATCTCAGCTCACTGCAACCTCCACCTCCCGGGTTCAAGCAATTCTCCTGCCTCAGCCTCCTGAGTAGCTGGGATTACAGGCACATGCCACCATGCCCAGCCAATTTTTTTTAAATTTATTTTTAGTAGAGACAGGGTTTCACCGAGTTAGCCAGGATGGTCTCGATCTCCTGACCTTGTGGTCTGCCCGCCTCAGCCTCCCAAAGTGCTGGGATTACAGGCATGAGCCACGTCACCCGGCCTAGATAAAGAATGTTAATGCAGCTGAAACCTTTGAAGAATTCAGACCAGTCCTTGGAACATTCATCCTGAGCACCTGGAATGTTACATAATCCTGAGTGGAATATTTCCCCTCTATGACTTCAGCTGTAAGATGACACTGTTCTTTTGCACAAGTACATGAAGACTAGCTAATTAAAATACTGTACTGGTTCATTCAAGAGGTATTTACTGAGTTGCTACTATGCACAAGGCATCATGCAAACAGACTGTGCAACATTACATACAATTTTAAAAATAAATTTCCATAAATAGACACTATGATAGGATTACGTAACATCTGTCAGGGAATTTTAACCATTTGGATATACTGCGCAGCGGTTCTGGTTCTACCAGTCTAAATGAATTGACCTGTTTTTTTTCACCATCACTCCTCCCCTTCAATTCAATTCATTCATTCTCGTGTGCAGCCCTTTTCTGTTTTCTATGTGTATGACCAGAGAGCCGCCATGTCAGCTGTGCTCTACACAAGGATAGATAACCCACTGAGGAATAAATGGGGCCAAAATCCAGTCTGGGTTCTGCTGACCAAGCCGGGTGACCTGGCCTGGGCTGGCGACCTCCCAGAGGAAGGGTTCATTTTTCCAGTTTGCACATGTGCTATATGTGGGTTGGATGAGGCCTGCTCACGTCTTCGGTTCGTTCACAAACCAGAAACAGAACAAATGGCCAGAGATTAGTGTTGTAATCACACTAGATTTACAACCAAGGCACGCTGAGTGGCATGATGGGTTTATCCTGCTGCATGGGAAGCTGCTCATGCGTGGGCTGTGCTCGGTGTCATTTTTACTCAGCCATGCCGGCCAGGGGAAGCAGGAGGGGCACTGGCTGGAGAAGGCGGCCTCAGTGAGAGCCTCGCTGCATTCCCCTGGAGCCACTGTTTGGGGCTTCTCCCTCAGCAGGGGTCCCCACAGTCTGTTTTCAGAAATCTTATATCTAGGGAACCCCAAATCTCACATGCAGACCCCAGGCTCTGAACTCATATTTAACTACAGAAGGGCATCAGCATCTCCCCTCTGGTCGAACTTGACCTTCTTACTGAGAACCGGCCAGGTAGGCATCAGAAGCCTCAGGCTCCAGAGGAGAAGCTGGTGGGCAAATAGATTAGGAGCAACTGCTTTCACCATCAGGGATGAAAGTTGAAGGCCAAGAACACTTGCTGGTCCTGTGGTACAGGGGTTGGGATGAGGTGTGAGTCTTGTAAATGGAAGAGAACTAAGTGTTGCGATTTAAAGGAAGAACATCTGACCCCGCCCCCAAATGCCCCCAAACCCTCCCAAATTCCACAGATTCCCTTGTCTTAACTCCTCTCACAGAAGTAAGCTAAGGTAGTCAGTCTCACTGTAATTGCGGTAAATTCAATGATCTTGGTTTTCTAACTGCTAGATAATCCACTGGAGCCAAAGGAGCTTTGGTGGATTGAGGGAGCCCACAGAGGCTGGGTAGGGGTGTGTTGGGAGTTGAATTGTTTCCCCCACAAAAAAATCCTGTTGAAGTTGTAACCCCCCACACACCTCAGAATGTGGCCTGCTTTGGAAATAGGGTTGTTGCTGATGTAATTTGGGGATGTGAGGTCTTCCTGCAGTAGGGCGGACTCCTAATCCAGTATGACTGATGGTCTCATGAAGAAAGAAAATTTGGACACAAAGCTATGCCTGCAGGGAGAGCACCAAATGAAGACCAGAGCGACGCAGCCAGAAGGCAAGGAACACCCAGAAGCGAGGAGGGAAGGCTGCGGCAGGTCCCTCCCCAGTCCCTTTAGAGGGAGCATGGCTCTGCCCCACTTCGTTTTGCACATCTGGCCTCCAGAACTGTGAGACAATAAACTTCGGTTGTTCCAAGCCACCCAGTTTTTGTGGTCCTTTCTTTTTTTTTTTTTTATTTTTTATTTTGAGACAGAGTCTCACTCTGTCGCCCAGGCTGGAGTGCAATGGAGTGATTTTGGCTCACTGCAACCTCCGCCTCCTGGGTTCAAGTGCTTCTTCTGCAGTAGCCTCCAGAGTAGCAGGGACTACGGGTGCACGCCGCCATGCCTGGCTAATTGTGGTATTTTTAGTAGAGATGGTGTTGAATTCGAGTGAGTAAAGAAGATTAACATTAAGATAAAAGTATGCCAAATTGTAGGGTTTTTATTGTTGGTGGCCATGGAGGACTTACGTTTTTTTCGGGGTGGCTCGGGAAATATGTTACTATATTCTATGTAGTTTGGGTTATTTTGGGGTTATGTGTCCCAATGTCTGGCCACCCCACCCCAAATGGTGGCTGGTTTAGTTTTTGAAGTTTTCCTGGGTTAATTGAACTTTGTACTGGTTAGAAAACTTTGTTTTGAAATTTGTTGTTATGTGCTGGAGGGGTTGCAGGGCCGGGAGTTTGATGATCCTATTTGTGCTGTTTTTTGGGGGCCTTTCGGTGACTACCTGGGTTTTTTTTATTTTTATGATGTAGTCAATTTTCGTAAGTTTTGAATTTAAATTTTGTTTGTTTTCGTATTGGTTTTAGTAATGTTTTTGTAGTTAAGTTTTGTAAAGGGGAGACGGCTAGGTGAATGGGCCTAGTTTCGGTTTGGGCCAGGGGAGCAGGTGGAAGGGGTCAGGGGAATGTGTATGGTTTTCTGGTGCTATGCCACAGAGGGTGGCAGTAAGTTTTGTAAAGATTTAATGCTGCTTGGGCATGGTCCTTTTTTAGATATATTTTGGCATTTAGAGGCCTAGGGAACGCTGGGAAATGGCAGAATAGGTGAACCAAGAGGTTTACCAGGTGTGAATTTTGAATACACTACGTTTTTAAGAGAGTGTAAAGGTTTTGTTAATCAGTCTTTATTAAACCACGGCAGCCGACCTTTAATAAGGTCAGGATGGTGTTAATATGCTGACCTGTGGTGAGCACCTGGGCAATGCCCACAATAATGCCGATTTTTTTTTTGACAAAAGAAACAATTTTTTTTTTTTACCTTAAACGGGTGAAGAGGGCTGGTAGCTTTTATTTAAGGTTTGATTCCTTAAGACAGAGAAAAAACTACACCCAAGTTGTCCAGGGCAGAATTTTCTCTTGGACACGAAAAAGAGGAAGAATGTGGCCTTAATGATAGAAGAAGAAGAAGAGAAGGAAAGAGAACAGAGGTGTTTTTTGGGGTGTAAACTTAGAGTTTTTTGAAGTTAATGGCTATTTAGCCAATGGAGAATGTTACTTACTTTAAGAGTAATAGGTCTAAACCACTGTATATTAACTAGTAACTGTTTTAGGAAACTAGAGGCCTTACAATAAAGACAGAACTACATGAGAGATAGACGGACACGGGGGGGTGTCCTCCGAGCGAGACTAGATTGATGCTTGTCCAGCCACATTCCCGGAGGGATGTTTTAGAGTGTTTTGGCTAAGGTGTACACATATAACCCCCGGCCTGGTTACTGAAAGGGTGCATCACCGTTATGTCTTATGATGTCCCTGTGGACAAGCCCCATAGCCTGCTGGCCATGGGACTACACATATACACTTTTACTTTCACACTTTCACGGAGGTTATGGAACACAACTGAAAACTGAATTACCCGAGCCTCCAGTGACGTTTTACGGTAGGCTTGTCTAGTTAGAGATTAACAACCATGTTTGGTCTCCTGACCTAGGCTTTTGATGGACAAGTGCCCCAATTTCCAGACCTGACTTACCTCTGGAGGTTCCCAAGACCCTGATGAATTTTGGGTGAATGTCAGCCAAGTAGTCGCCCTTCCACCACGGGCCAAAACTTTGGGACCCTGGAACGTTCTAGAGGGTACCTCCCCCAGAGATTCCTGAGGCTGGAGCAGCCGCCCGGGTGAGACTCTGAGAGGGCTTTTGTCTGATGATGGATGAAAATCTCACTTGGGCCTCCAAATGTTGTATTAGAGCGAGCAAAGAAAATTAACATCAAGATAAAAGTATGCCAAATTGCAGGGTTTTTATTGCTGGCGGCCCCGGAGGACTTATGTCTCTCCAGCCCCTGGCCCCACACCTAGTGGGGGCAAGGTTTTTAAACTGCAAAACTACATCCTTGTTGTGGGAGTGTGGGGGCTATGCGAGCAAGCAGTTTGTACAGAAGCCAAGGTCAGCAGTTTGTTGCAAGGGGCAATAGTGAAAACTTTTTTAACTTTACAAAATAACATTTTTGAGAACTACAGTAACAGTTCTGAGAACTACATGCTTTAGGGTTTTTATTCTAAGATGACGGTGCCTAAAGCACTATAAGATGGCGGTACTTAGGCCCTGTCTTAACTCCTGTCTCAGTGGGACTTCACCATATTGGCCAGGCTGGTCTTGAACTCCTGACTTTGTGATCTGCCCACCTCGGCCTCCCAAAGTCCTGGGATTACAGGAATGAGCCACCATGCCCAGCCTTTGTGTTACTTTTAAATGACTGCCCTTGGAAACCAGTACAAAGTGGGATAGGGAGATGATAGAGAGCATGACACTGTGACATGTTGCATCTTTCCCAAAACAGCCACAATGATATCTCCCATCTACATGCTCTTCTTGAGATGGAGTCTCGCTCTGTTGCCAGGCTGGAGTGCAGTGGCACCATCTTGGCTCCTTACAAACTGCAACCTCCACCTCCTGGGTTCAAGCGATTCTCCTTCCTCAACCTCCTGAGTAGCTGGTACTACAGTACCCACTGCCATGCCTGGCTAATTTTTTGTATTATTAGGAGAGACAGGGTTTCACCCAGTTCAACCCACTGGTGTCAAACTCCTGAGCTCAGGCAATCCACCTGCCTCAGCCTCCCAAAGTGCTGGGATTACAGCCATGAGCCACTGTGCCCAGCCCTACATGCTCTTCTTACAATGTAACTCTGACACTCTTCCTATTGAGTGTTGGGGTCTATATATCCTCTTTTTAAACTGAGCAGGATTTTATGACTTCCTTGACCAATGAGAGTATCATAAAAATGATACCTTGTGACTTCCTAGGTTACATTATATAAATGCTATGCACTTTGGCTGCGATCTCTTGGGATACTCACTCTGAGGGAAGCTAGCTGCTATGTAAGCAGTGACTGCCCTGAGGCCACCATGTTGTGAGGAAGCCCAGCTAACCCATACAGAGAGATCACATGGAGAGTTTCTGAGACTACATGGAGGGGATGTAGGAGATGCCTGCCCACCACCCCTGGCTGCCACATTTCTGTTGCAGCCACTACTTGCCTCCAACTCCGTGAGAAGCCAGAACTGCCTACCCAAGCCCTACCCAAATTCCTGACCCATAGAAACTATGAAAGAAAACAAATGGATATTGTTTTAAATCAATAGGTTTGGGGTTTTGTTACACAGTCAGTGGGGTTTGGGGCAACCAAACCCATAACACTCGTGTATGTTGTGGGTGTTGTCAGGAGCTTCAAGCACTGGACTTGAGTCTATGGGAGTCAGAGGAGAACATGGCTCTTAGTGGAAGGAGAACTGGAAAAGAAGGATCTGCAATCATCGATCTGGTGTTGGAAAGTAGATGGCTCCATTTTGCTCTGAAAGGAAAGAGGTTTTTAGTCAGATTACAAGAATGTTTCCTCACAGCTCAAAAATAAAGTATGCAGTGTTCAGCAAAATCTGAGAAACAGGCATTGACAGTTTTAGCCTGCGTTGTCAAGATTCTCTTAGTACTTGACAAACTTTAGCTCAAATTTGTAAACTCTGTAAGATAAAAAGCAGTAATTCACAAACTCACAGTCTGTATAATTCTTGAAAGAGGGATGGCATTGTAAAAAAAAAAATTGTTTGGGCCAGGCGCAGTGGCTCACGCCTATAATCCCAGCACTTTGGGAGGCCGAGGCGGGTGGATCACGAGGTCAAGAGATCAAGACCATCCTGGTCAACATGGTGAAACCCCGTCTCTACTAAAAATACAAAAAATTAGCTGGGCATGGTGGCGCATGCCTGTAATCCCAGCTACTCGGGAGGCTGAGGCAGGAGAATTGCCTGAACCCAGGAGGCGGAGGTTGCGGTGAGCCAAGATCGCACCATTGCACTCCAGCCTGGGTAACAAGAGTGAAACGCTGTCACAAAAAAAAAAAAAAAAAATGGTTTGTTTCACTAGCTATCATTTATTGAATTAGGATTCATGCTGTACTTTATTTATAAAGAAAACATTAACAACCTATTAACTCTCTGAGCTGATTTTCCAATAAAGTGGTTGGTTTTACTTTGATCTAATGACATGCTTTCGTACAATTCTCAACTGAAATGGGGTTGAGGTCTATGTTTTATGAAACATGTTTCAGGAAAACCAAGCTTCTGGTCCACTTTGGGTTTAAAGCATGATTCAGGTCTCCTCAGTACTATCCTCTGATCAATCTGAGCAACTAGTGGAGCCAGAGGCAAGGCTCTATCATAAGCTCCGTGACCACAGACATTATGTCTGTCTTCTTCATTGTTATATCCCAGCAACCAGTATAGTGCCTGGAGCATAGCAGGTTCTTCATGTATACTTAGTGAATGAATTCATGTTATTCCACATTATCAAGAGCCTACATATCTCCTACTTCTCCTCCCCTTTCCTTACTCTAAGTCCCATTCTCTGAAGGTATCTACTCTCACACATTTCATGTTTTGAAAAATGAATTTAGAGGCAAAAGAACTTTCATTTGCTTGGGATGAAAGAATGGTGGTCAAAGTGGAAAAACCGATGGGAGTCCTGAAACAAAGGACATTGTCCCAGAAGTCAACAGTGATTAATAATAAAAAGATGGCCTGGAAAAAGACAAATTGAGATCCCCATGTCTTCTCTGACCCAACTTCTAGGGGGACAGTTTCCCTGGACAGGTGTGGTACTATTTTGTTGATGTCAGGCATCACCTATGAAAAGGGACCGCTCCCCCACAAGCATCATCCATGCTACATGTCCCCTACATGGTCAGAGGTTGTCCCAGGTCCTTCTGTGATCCCATTGTGAGAGCCAAGCCATTTCTGAATGGAGCTCAAAGCAGCAGGTGCAGAAAATAAAACTCTGGAGAGACGCAGGAGAGTCGGAAGCCCCCTGGACCCTTTCCACATGCCTCTCACCTCGGGGCCTTCTTCTCCAGACTAGAACACCAATTCCAGCCAGCACAATGACGAGGACAATGGACCCAGACACAGCTTTTATCACGAGGGGAATAGTTTCTGATTCTAAAAGCAAGCAAATGAGGAGAAATCCACAAGTCCCCTTTCCCTTCTGTGCTAACTTTCCAGGACTTTTGTCCCTGTGATCATTAGGAAACCCAACACCATTTTCCTCATCGTTGCTTCTCACTCATCAATCTGACTACTAATGGAATATGTGCTTGTGTTTTCTTGTGTTTAACTTTTTTTTTTTTGAGATAGGGTCTCACTCTGTCATCCAGGCAGAAGTGCAGTGATGCCATTATAGCTCACTGCAGCCTCGACCTCCTGGGCTCAAGTGATCACCCACCTTAGCCTCCTGAGTAGCTGGAACTATAGGCACATCCAATCATGCCCAGCTAATTTTTGTATTTTTTGTAAAGATGAGATCTCAGTATGTTGCCCAGGCTGGTCTTGAAATCCTGGGCTCAAGCAGTCTACTCACCTCAGCCTCCCTAAGTGCTGGCAATACAGGCATGAGCCACTGCATTTGGCTTATGTTTAATTTTTTGTTTTTTAGATGGGAGTCTCACTCCCATCATGCAGGCTGGTATGCAGTGGCGCAATCTCTGCTCTCTGCAACCTCCACCTCCCAGGTTCAAACAATTCTCCTTCTTCCCAAGTAGCTGGAATTATAGGCATAAGCCACCATGCCCAGCTAATTTTTTTGTATTTTAGTAGAGTCAGGGTTTCACCATGTTGGCTAGGATGGTCTCAAATTCCTGACCTCAAGTGATCTGCCTGGCTTGGCCTCCCAAAGTGCTGGGATTATGGGCATGAGCTACCGCACCTGGCCATATTTAATTTTTAAATTGTGAATTTATAATGTAGTAAATAGCAATAGATATAACCCACATAGACAAAAGCTCTTTGGGGGTCCTCAATAATTTTTTAATAGTATGAAGGAGTCCTGGTTCCAAAAAGGGTGAGAACGACTTATTTAAAAGCCCCATTCTAAGGCACACTGGTTGAGGCAGTGATCTATCCTCCCCGCCCTGGCAGGGAGCATGGCTTCCTGCTCACACCTCTCTCCAGGCTCTCTCCCCAGACAGTCACGATCCCCGTCCTTACCCTGGGGGACCTGAAGAACCATGTGGACACCGCAGTGCTCCACGTGACAGGAGTAAAGGTCGCTGCTCTGAGGATCAAGCTCGACTGACGCCCACCTTTGATAGGTTCCATCCCCACTGGGAAGAATGTCTCCATAATCCATTTCTTGGACAATTTCTTCCCCGTTTTTCATCCATGTCATGTAAATTTCTGGGGGGTAAAAGCCATGAGCTTTGCAGAAGAGAGTTGTAACCCCTGGAAAAGTTTCTTTGCGATTTACTCTGACCAGTGGGGGCTCTAGGAAGAAGAAGCTAAAGTTAGACTTTATGTACTGGGCATGTAATATTAGAAGCTGGCAACTGGCGTTCACAATTTTTCTTTATTGCAGAAAATTTCTAAAGCTAAGAATGACCCAGAACTCAGGTTCATCAACAATAGACTGATTTATGCATACTTCCCACGATGGCGATGCTCTAGGTAGTGAAGAATGCGGAGTTACGCCATGCTCCATCCTCTAAGGGAGGAAAGCCGTCCAGCTTTGAATGTTTGGAAAGTGCGCTGAGTTGTTTACTATTAACCTTTGAAATACCTTTATGTGTCAAGGAAAACTGACCCACAAAACATATAAGTGACTGTTCCCAATAAGTAAGTCAGCAAGGAATAGGAGATTAGAACTCTGTTTTCAGTGCATGTAAATAACGCAGCCATCCCTACTCAGTTTTGACTCTGAATTGCCTTATGTACTCAGGCTGGCGTTTTGATGACTACCATCAGGCACAAACGTATGTAATAGATCATGACATGATTGTGCCTTCAAAGAAACTGATATCATAAAAGGGCTCCAACAGTGACACCAAAGAAGTATGCATGTATGACTTTGCTTCCTTGTGACGCCTCTGTTGATTTTCCATTCAGTCCTGTCCTTAATGTTTCTTGCTGAAACTGGGTCATGCGGCCATACCGAGACCAATCGCACTGTCTGGAGGGACTGCTTCCTGCTCATCTCTGACTTGCCTCCTGACCCCCACCTCATCACTGGCCAGCCCAATACAGAGAAGAGCCTTCACTCCAACAACGCTTTCCTTGTCTCTTTACCGAGGCATGACATTTGGAAGTAGAAAAAGGCTTTCCAACGTTAAAAGTAAAATAAATGCTACTAGGAGAGATTGTGCTTTTTGACAGGACCTGTAAGAAATTAATCCAAGATCATTTTTTTTGTTTTTTTTTGAGACAGAGTTTTGCTCTTGTTGCCCAGGCTGGAGTGCAATGACACGATCTTGACTCACTGCAACCTCTTCCTCCTGGGTTCAAGTGATTCTCCTGCCTCAGCCTCCCAAGTAGCTGGGATTACAGGCACGCGCCACCGAGCCTGGCTAATTTTGTATTTTTAGTAGAGACAGGGTTTCACCATGTTGGTCAGGCTGGTCTCAAACTTTCAACCTTAGGTGATTCACCCGGCTTGGCCTCCCAAAGTGCTGGGATTACAGGCTGAGCCACCATGCCTGACCCTGAGATCCTTTCATAGGAGTGTGTGTGTGTGTGCACGCGCGCGTGCACGTATGTGTGTGTTTTAGGAGTGTGTTTTGACCAAAGGGTTGAGAATCCATTAGGACACTGGAGGTGGATAGAGGCCTGGAGAGAGGAATAGATAGACTCACATCAAACTTCCTATACTCTTCCCACACACATTGTATCTAGGACTTTCCTGTAGCATGATACAGACATGATTCATTTTGAATCATAAGATCATACCTGAAAAGTTCTGTATGAACTGAAAGTTGATCAACTGAATCATATCTTTAAGGAGCTCTTTGCTGAAAAGAATCTTATCATTAATACTTTTTTAAAAAACATAGGGTCTCACTGGGCTCAGTGGCTCACGCCTGTATTCCTAGGAATTTGGGAGGCCGAAGCAGACGGATCATGAGGTCAGGAGTTCAAGACCAGCCCAACCAACATGGTGAGACCCTGTCTCTACTGAAAATTAAAAAAAATTATTAGCTGGGCATGGTGGTGCATGCCACTCAGGAGGCTGAGGCAGGAGAACTGCTTGAACCCAGGAGGCAGAGGTTGCAGTGAGCTAAGATCGCGCCACTGCACTCCAGCTTGGTGACAGAGTGAGACTCTGTCTCAATAAATAAATAAATAAACAAATAAATAGGGTCTTGCTCTGTCACCCAGGCTGATCATGATCATGGCTCACTGCAGCCTTGACCTTCCAGGCTCAAGAGATCCTCCTCCCTCAGCCTCCTGACTACAGGCATGTACCACCATGCTCAGCTAATTTTTTTTTAAATAGAGACAGGGTTTCAGTCTCACAATGTTACCCAGGCCAGTCTTAAACTCCTGGCCTCAGGTAATCCTCCTGCCTCAGCCTCCCAAAGTGCTAAGATTACAGGCGTGAGCCACAGTGCCCAGCCTCATTAATCCTTTAGCAAAGCAGAGACCCCACTTTATTTATCCTGGTAAATCCAGATTTTCACTCCTGCTGGTGGTATATCAGCCGTTTGTTAACTAAACAATTTGTAAGCATTGTTCCACCTCCCAAAGAATTTCCAAGCTTATCATTGAAGGAATGGAAGAATTCGCCTCAATGGATCCCAAAAAACAAGGTGCCCCACCTCTCTGTGTGCACATTTGGGCGTATACACACAGGCACACAAACACATGCACACACACACCAGGCCAATCAGAACAAAAACCCTCCTATGAACTCAGGCTTCCTGAAAAACCAGTTTTTTAAAAGGACAGTGCTTTTCCTATTATGTCAAATCACCTCTGTTAAACATTTTCTTATTCTTTTTCTACTTAATAAATTTTCTTTTCTGAGACGGAGTCTCACTCTGTCGCTAGGCTGGAGGGCAGCGGAGCAATCTCCACTCTCTCAAGACAAGGGGGACTGCCAAATCTTGTCAAGATGCCACTCAAAAGTAAGGAGGGAAAGTTTTTGGGGGGCTCCAGCCATGAGATCACAATAGGCTAACTAAAGGCATGGCTTTGGGATAGGGTGGATGTAACCTAGATTGGAGGAGTTATGTACAGAAACAGTTCATAACTGATTGTACGTGTGTGTGTGTGTGTGTGTGTGTGTGTGTGTGTGTTCAGGCAGCGCGGGAGTGGGGCCTTCTCTCTCTCTTTACCTGTTCTTTGAAGGGTGTCTTTCCCATACTCCAGGAATCTCTTTAGCCAGGCAATACATTCTTCTTCCAGCCAATTCTTTTGATACTGCAACTCATGCCGATTGGCCTCCCATGCCCGCTTGATGGTGTGAGCCACATTATCTACAGCCAGCCAGGACAGGGTGTCTTTATTGAAGATCATGAAATCCTGTCCGTCATATGCATACTGGAGAAATCCTGTGGTGCTTCCATCCTCCATCAGCTCACAGCCAATCATTCTCTGGTAAGTGTGAGACCCTGAAACACACATGCAAACCTAAAGGGGTGCAGGGACAGAGGTGGGCTCTCAGGTGCTGGGACGGAGCATGGCTGGAAGCATCCTATGGTCTACAGACCTATTGTGGCATCGCTGAGTCCCCAGGAGGTCTCTCTTATGGAAGCCCACCTGACAGCAGGTATCTGTGAAGTACCTACTGCCTGTCTGAGGAGCATGATAATTCCTGCCTTGGGGAGTTGTCCTGTAATGGGAATGATTGATAAACTTTGTGGCTATTCTGAGTGCAGTGGAGGAGGGAGAGAGATGCAGGAGCCAGAAATACCCCTGGGTAAGTTAATGTCGTTATGCATAAGCCAGCGACTCACTGGGCCTGGCTACCAGGAAGTGAGACACGGAATGGGCAAATTTAGAATGGGAAAGGAGATGCATGTCAGAAGCCTGCGTGGAAATGGGATGCGCATACGGATACAGAGATGGGGAAGAGTGGGTGTGGCAAATGATAGAGCGCTCCTGGGGGAGACAGGGACAGTCCAGAAGATGCACAGGCAGATGGGAGGCCCTGAACTCCACCAACCCGATTCTCAGGCTTTGCCAAAAGCCACAGCAGGTGCAAGTCAGCATCGCTCGGGGGAGGTCAGCCCTGGGGCCTCTGCGGGGCGGGGCAGAAGCGTCCATCTCTGCCGCATGCACACCTGAGTGATTGTAGTGCCTCTGCAGGCGATTCAGTTCCACCTTGAACATCTGCTGCCAGCCCCTCAGCAGCTGAGTGTACCTCTCCCAGTGATCAGGTGCGAGGTTCTCTGCCATCCATGGGGCCCGAGGCTCCTTCTGCCGAGTGATGCTGTTGTATGCGGTGATAGGCTGTGAGTCCACATACCCAACCGAAATAAATTCAGGGACCCCATGGCCGGGATCTGAAACGCCCAGGCGAAAATATCTCAGAGAGTGCGTCCCTGGGAAGGAGGCAAAGAAGGAAGACATGTAGGGTCTCGGACGATGCAAATGCTTCAGCTGCATCCACTGAGCCCCACACTGAGCTCCCTGCTCAGCTGCACCCAGGCCTTCAGGCCCCAGCTGCTATTTCCTCTTACAGAACCACAGAACCGAAGAACGAGGCCCTGGACAGGACTGTAGAGCTCCAGCCCAGCTACTTGGAGCCTTCTTGTTCAGGTTTGCAAATGCAGGGTGGAATTTTACAGGTAATCTCAACTTGTAGACAAAATATAGAGTGCTGCCATGGTGGAGGGGGAGGAGGGAAGATCACTCATTGGGGACACAGGGGGAGCTGTCCCTGCAGAAGCCCTCAAGAACTCTGAAGGCTTGGAAACCCTGATAATGCAGCCCTCTTCTTTTATCAAAGAAGCCTCTGGTGAAAAAATGAGGACCTCTCACTCTACCTCTCTGTGTGCACGTGTGGGCGTATACACACATGCACACACACACACCAGGTCACTCAGAACAAGAGCTCTCCTATGAACTCAGCCCTCCTGAGAAAACACTTTTTTAAAAGCACAGTGCTTTTCCTATTATGTCCAATCACCTCTGTTAAACATTTTCTTATTCTATTTCTACTGTTTCTTCTTACTAAATTTTTTTTTCTGAGATGGAGTCTCACTCTGTTGCTAGGCTGGAGTGCAGTGGCACGATCTCAGCTCACAGCAACCTCTGCCTCCCGGGTTCAAACAATTCTCCTGCCTCAGCCTCCGGAGTAGCTAGGACTACAGGTGCATGCCACCAGGCCCAGCTAATTTTTTGAATTTTTAGTAGAGACAGGGTTTCACCGTGTTGGCCAGGATGGTCTTGATCTCTTGACCTCATGATCCACCCACCTTGCCCTCCCAAAGTGCTGGGATTACAGGAGTCACTGTGCCCAGCACTAAATATTGTTATAAGGATTGTAATAAGGGTTAAAAGTAAACCAAAATGGAACAAAACTGGCCCTCTCTGCTGCTTGCACACCAAACTTCTCTCACTTGTCCAAGAAGCTTAGGGCCTGATGGAGACAGACAAAGTGGTTTCAAAAGGTGGCATGATGGGTGGTGTTATGGGATCCACTCTGGTGTGGGCCCTCAGGAGAGACTTCCAGAGAAGGTGATGTCCTAGGGAGATATCAGGGACAGGTAGGAGGAGCAGAGTGGAGACCACATGTGCAAGCAGGAAGCATGACAAGGCAGGGCATGTGCAGGAACCAGATGACTGGGGATGGCTGGAGTACAGCGTCAGGCGTCACAGGGAGAGGTGATGCCTGGGAGGCGGAGCCCAGGTTGAGAAGGCCACGCACCCCATGCCATGCCCAAAAGCTGGCAAACAAGGCATGTTGCTGCAATGGCTTTCTTCACCTACTCTGCCTGCCGGTGTCTGGAGACGTCCATGTCCAAGCCTTTTGTCCTATTATCTCCTGCCGTTCTGACCCATCTACACCCTTCTCAGTCTTCAAAGCCCATCTCCAGACTTGTTCCTAGGACCATCCTGATATTTCATGGCCGAGTCGAGATGACAGATGGAGGCCCACATACCAGAGATCCAGATATTTAAAAGGAATAAATCAACCTAACAAACTGTGAAATATGTTATATCCCCTCACCTTGAGAGATGAATAGCCCTTTGTGTGGCTTCGAAGGCCAAGTTCAAATTAAAAGATCTCATACTGTGTGAAGTTCTGGGCCTGAACGTGGTGGCACAGGGAACGCTGGTGTCTCCCTCCAGTCCGCGGCCCTCAGCCTGAGACTCCTCTTTTTCTTCCCATTTCTTGCTCCATCCAGCACTGCCAAGAGCCTTCCACAATTAAACACTTCTATTTTTTAATTCAGGCTCCAGCTACAAACTGCCTCTTGTCCAAACTTGTCCTGGGCTTAAGTGATCCTCCCATCTCTTTGCCACCCCTCGGGCCTAGCAGGGCCCTCAAGGGCAGCCAGTCCACCCTTAGAAGGATGGGCCAAAGTGAGAGTTTGCTGTGTAAACCTCAGCAGCTTTGAGTCAGCTGGGAGGGGAACTCCAGGTTCCTGGGTGCCAGGAGTCTGCTCTGGAGTGGAGGAGCCCAGACAGAGGGTGACCACCTCCCCTCAGCCTCACGCACTCCTCGCTCTGTGGGGAGGGATGTGGGTAGTAGAGGGCCAGGGTGGGGCTCTCTGAATGTGGGGCCACATCCGGGGGCTTCTCCTGCCTGTGTCTCAGAGCCGAACTACACGCCACCTCCCCACGGTCTTTCCAGATTGCCCAGCCCACTGCTGCTGCCACCTTTCGGAACTCCCCTCCACTCCGATCTGACATGGCCCTTGCCACCACAGAGCACCTTGCAAGGTTGAGTACCACTTAATGATATTCACTCCTTCCTTCTCATTTATAAGCATACAGTTAAGAAGAAAGACAAAAAAAAAAAAAAAATCAGCTCACAAAATAGTTGGGTTAGCTTCTGTGCAAGCAAGTTTGTTTATATTTTTCTTTTCTCTAAAACTGCTTATAAAAGAACTCATAATGTGCAGATTACCTTTTAGAATTGACCACGTGAAGGCCAGGGTACCTTGCCTACTAGGGGAGACAGCAGGCCCTGAGAGGTGTCTCCCACAGCACATTCCACCTGATTGTACTAGTTATGTGTGTGTGTGTGTGTGTGTGTGTGTGAGAGAGAGAGAGAGAGAGAGAGAGAGAGAGAGAGAGAGAGAGAGAGAGAGAGAGAGAGAGAGAGAAAGACAGTGTTTTGCTCTGTTGCCCAAGCTGGAGTGCAGGGGCATGATCATAGCTCACTGTAACCTTGAATTCCTGGGCTTAAGTGATCCTCCCACCTCAGCCTCCTGAGTAGCTGGGACTACAAGCTCATGCCACCACTTCCAGCTAACTTTTTTTTTCTTTAAATAGAGACAGGGTCTTGCTATGTTGCCCAGGCTGATCTCAAACTCCTGGTCTCAAGTTAACCTCCCACTTTGGTCTCCCAGAGCACCACCACGCCCAGCAATTGATTGCACCTGTTCTGTAAAACCATTGTAGGCACTTCTTTCTCCGTGCTCCTGGAGCTGGGGTTTGGAGTTTGGCAGGGTTCAGAGTAGGTGCCTGGCCCCATGGGCTCCTCCCTCACAGGCATTACCCTACATGTCGGCTGCAATACTGGACAGGGTGGAGGCTGGCCTCCCACAGGCTGGGCCAGCAGAAGGTCCCAATGCCCCTCTGCATTGCTTTGACCTTTCACTTCCCCCTACCCTTCCTGTGGTGGGCTGGTGCTTGGGTTGGGAGGGAAGACAGTGGAAGCCTCTGGGGTGGTCATAAGAGCCTCTTCATAAAAGTGTTGGATCTTATGAAAACAAGAGCCAGAGCTTGCATCAGAGCACGAGTTCTGTCAAAAAACCGAGAGCTACCAGATTCTGCCTTCTCTTTCCCCTGGCTGACTATCTTTTACCTGCTTCTCAATCTTAAGGCACTTAAAAAAGGGGACTTAGCATTTTTCCTTTGTATTTCCTACAAAGCCTAGCATAAGGAGCTTGGCATATGGTAGGAGTTTGGTAAATATTTAGTGAACTAAATTGTTGGTGAAACACTTTATTTCTGTGGTTTGGAATAATAAAATATGCTGAAATGAATATGAATCTATGTAACCTGGATCTCATATGTAAATATATATATATATATATATATATATATTTTTTTTTTTTTTTTTTTTTTTTTTTTTTTTTGAGACAGAGTCTCACTCTGTCACCCAGGTTGGAGTACAGTGGCATGACCTCGGGTCAATTCAACCTTCGCCTCCCAGGTTCAAGCAATTCTCCCTGCCCCAGCCTCCCAAGTAGATGGGATTACAGGCATCCATTACCACACTCAGCTGATTTTTGTATTTGTCTTAATATAGACGAGTTTTCACTACATTGACCAGGCTGGTCTTGAACTCCTGACCTCAGTTTATCCACCCACCCTGGCCTCCCAAAGTGCTGGGATTACAGGCGTAAGCCACTGCACCCGGCCTAAAAAATGTTTTTCATTCAAGGGACGGCTGGTGAATGGAGAGTAGAGCTGCAATCTGGGGTCTGCAAAAGGTGCATGTGTGTGTATGTGTGTGTGTGTGTGTGTGCGCGCGTGCATGCGTGTGTGTGTGTATGCAAATCTGCAATTGATTTTGAAATTGTTCTATTTTTTCATATCTGGAAACTTTTGTGGCTACTCTGGAGACATGCAACTGTCTGAAGAAGGAGGCAAAAGGAAGAACAAGTTGTGAATATTAGTTCTCACACTTTCTTAACATTCACTTGTACATCCAATGTCTCTTCTGTACCAGCCACTCTTCTAGCCCTTAAGCTTGTACCAGGCCAAATAGATAAAAATGTCTGCCCTCATGGAGTCTACACTCTAGTCAGGGGAAGGGGAGAAGACAGACTATGAAATATAATTTTTTTAAAGTACAGTGGAGAAAAATAAAACTGCAAAGAGGAATGGGCAACACTATTTAAAATAGGAAGGCCTATTAAGGAAGGCCTCCCAGAAAGGTGAATCCTGAGCAAGTGTCTGCAAGGAGCTGGGGAGGCCGGCAGATGTCTGGGGTCAGCAGTCTGGGAAGGAAGGGCCATGCAAAGGTTCCCAGGAAAGAACATGCCTGGCATATTCCAGTAGCAGCACAGAGGCTTGTGGCTGGAGCCGAGGGAGTGAGGGGAAAAGAAAGAGATAGGAATCACTTCCATAGTTATTCATGGGGGAAAAAACCTCACGGAGAGCAGATTCCAGGCAGAGAATGTGGAGAGGAGAAAAAAGAAGGAAGAAAAAAAGATGCTATGTTGTTAAGCTGGATTGGTGTAGAACAGCCCCTGGAATCTGGGTTTTCTATTTTTATGATCTCTGAGGTCTACATTCCTGGCAGATGCCAACAAGCAAAATAAAACAAACAAAAACAACATCAACAAAAAAACCCAGTATCAACAACCTGGGGTATTAGTGCCCAATAGGAGGATTTATTCCAGGTAAGTATCACAAGCAT